TCTTGGCCCCCAAATTCACCTGACCTTAATCCAATAGAGCATTTGTGGTCCTACTTGGAAAACCAAATTCGTGCTGCCACGCTACCACCTCGCAATGTGAGGGAATTGCAGGACCAGTTGGTGAGCGCTTGGTACCAGATACCTCAGACTACCTATCAGCACCTTGTGGAATCAATGCCACGGCGGGTGCTAGCAGTTTTGAGGGCCAAAGGTGATCCTACATGCTATTTCAGGGTGGTATATATATATACACTCTATATATATACACATATATATATATATATATATATATATATACATTAATTAACAGTCAGTGGCCACATATTTTAAGGAAAACTTTACGGGAAAACCTGTATTTTTATGATCATGATAGCTTTACGGGAGAAAATTTATTTTTACTTCCAGTGTCAGGGGCATTTTCTCCCGGTCACTAGCCATAATCTAGAGGTGAAATTTCTAAGAATATACTACATTAAAATTTGATTATTAGTAAAAAAGTTATTCAATGTTTATTTTATTTAGTTTTCTCACACACAGTAGATAGTTTTAGATAAGAAAGTCTTTCAGAATATTTTTTAATTTTATGGATGTAATGACGAGGATTAATTATTTCTTATTGTAATTAGTTAATAAAATCAGTAATCGGAGTAGTTGAATTGAATCTACTGCATGAAAACTTGATCATTAATTTAAGAGTTATTATTATTTTATTATTATTATTTTATGTCATTATTAATTTACGTCATTAGTTTTTATTTTATTGACGATATTATAAAGAGTATTTTTCCCATTGAAATTATTTAATTCAAAAATACTTTTCAAAGAATGTCTAATTAAAGTTATAATGGATAAATGAATAATCTAAAATATTTTGATTTTTTTTTCTTTAGATATTACTTTTGGAAGTTGAAGAGATTGTGAATCAAATGCAAAAGGAATTTGAAGTTATAAAAGCTCTCGGAAATGATTTAGAAGTAATAAAACTTATATTATTGAAAATCAGATGAGCAATGCTATTAAATTTTTCACTTAGCGCCAATTTTCAAATTTTGACATTTACTTGCAGTCTAAAATTTATTAAAAATTTATGTCAGAAAATTTGGACCATGTTGAGATGTAATATTTTTCGAATTTACTGCAAACTTAAAACAGTACCAAGTTGAAAATTTTTTAATAGTTTGCTAATATCTTAACCTTGTTATCTTGAATCTGGTTTCGTGATAAAATAATTCAATTAGAACGGAAACAGGTTAACTCACATTAAGGTTGCAGGAACTTTTCACAATATTGAGGTTCTTGATCGCGAAATTCTGGTCCTAAATTGATTTGATTTTATTGTTACTATGTTTCTGCAAGAAATAATTTTCAACCTTTGAGAGATGTACCTCAACTAAAAATGAACTTCAGAAAATTTAACAAAAACAGTAATAGTTCACAGACTGTGGCCGATTCTGTTACAGATTTTTTGAGATCAAACAACTACAAAATTACCGCAATAATTTAGCAGTTCTACAAAATCATAGCAATTTTTTTGTAGTATTACTAACCTCAAAAAGTTTGCAGTAAATATGCAGAAATATTGTATTATTTAGTAGTGCCACCTATCGTGACTGATGGAAAATACTAGACATTTTATGTTTAGCTGCTACGTACCTATTCTAATACTCAAAGTCTTATACTAATACTTATTGATCCCGCAGTGGACTGATCGTTAAGACACGGTTCCCAGCAGATCACCGAAGTAAAGCATCACTGGCTGCGGTCAGTGTGCGGGAGGGTGACCCACTTGGATCAGACCGAGGGTGTGTGGTATTGGTTCTCGTTAAACTGTTCTACCGTGAAGTGCTCGACTTCGCGTGCAGGTCGTCGGGCTACCGAAGCGGGGGTGCCATCGCCTCTGCAGAAGATCAAAATTGTGATGGGGTGTCTTCGGATCATCCTCAGGGATGTTTCCCAGACGGTCGCCATTAGCTCATTGTGCAGCTCTAGCGTGACGTAAGTGAACTGCAACTACTAATACTTATTGGAGAGAGTAGGACACTGGAAACTTTTCATGTGATGAAGGAATATAAGAAATTTTGTGGTGTCATTTCCGGGATTCAAACTCCCTTTCAGTCATTCGTAAAGTAAATAGATTAGCCCTCTCTGCTACCGTAAGTATCTAGCTGCAAAAAACTAAACGGCTTCATAAAGTTGGCCTAGTTTGCTCTGATAAAATTCATGCTTGTTTAATCATAGTAAGTGAAAACAGTCAATAGACGATTTATCTCACAGTTAATAGTTAGAATACCTCTTTTTAGTGATTATTTAACTGTATTTGTTGAATAGGGTAAAATAACATTTAAATGAATTGTTATTAATTCATTTTTCCGAGAAATATCAAGCAATATAGATTTGCGTCTTTTTTGTTGTTCACCTTAGCTTTTGGCTCTGTCTTTTTTCTTTCTTTTTTAATTTTTCAGAACGAGTTTTAAAAACAAGCAGTTCTATAAATATTATGCTTATAAATATTCAATCGAAAATACGATGAACCATATTTTTTTCAAAGTTATTTAACTTAATAATGTTCATTGTAAGCCATAAAAAGGTATATTGTTTTAATTATATAAATTTATTTAGAACAAATTTCAAAAACAGACTGAAATTAGTGAATTTATGAAAGAGAGGCTTATCTTTGAAACTAAAAAAAATCTAAAATTATATATCCATTTCCAAATTCAATTATATAAACTCTTTTAATATAAAGTTGTTAGAAACCTGAACTAAAAACTTATTTTGATTCGACAAAATGCGTCCAATATTGGTTCTAAAACAGTTCTAGGTTAGGATGAATTTGAATAAAAAATTACAATGTTAAAAACAAAAGCTTTTTCGCCATTCCTTTCAAAAATATAATATATAATACTTGCTTTTTATGCGACTGACGATGGCGAGTATTTAAAATAGTTTTTTTTTAACCTTTTTTAATTGTGGGAATGGAGCATACTACATAAAAAAGAAAATTTTATGTTATACTTGCTCGATGTCTTTCGTTGCAATGAGTTAAATCTCTTACGGAAATATAGCAAGTGGTGCCACTATCTAGCCATGATAATAAAAAGTAAACCATTTGCTTAATCAAACTTTATTTGATATTTTTAAATGCATGCTTTTGAAATCATACATCAAAGAGTAATCATCTCAAATATTATCTTTTTATTTTTCCAATGGAAGAATTACGCAGAGTGAATCTTTAATTGCTTTGTTAAGAATAATAATATAATAATAATAATAGAATAAGAATAATAGAATAGAATAATGATAGAATAGGAATGATAATAGAATAGAATAATGATAGAATAGGAATGATAATAGAATAAGAATAATAATAGAATAANATATATTTATAAATATAAAATATTACGATGATTTTAACTTCTGGAATTGAATGTGGGTTTTACAAAAATTTTAAGAATGTAAGCCAAACTGTAGGATTAACTCGTGTCTATCTTATAAGTAATATTTTTTGTATATATTATTATGCGCGTAAAAAATTGAATAATGAATACTGTTCATTGATATTGAAGAATATTTTTTTAATTCCATTGCGTGTTTCATAAATAATAAATCTTCTATATTTGATAATTTCTTTTTATATAATATTATTAGCAGTATTAAATAACAAAAAAGATTATAATTTAATTTTAATATTTTACTATTTATTTTAAATAATGTTTTTTAATTTTACATATAAATTAAATAATTTAAATTGATAAAAACTTATTTTAAAATTAACAACCACAAGGAAGTATTACGATTTTTAAAACTTTTGTGCACTTAATAATTTATTAGGAAAGAACAAGTTAGTATTATGCTGTATACATATTGAAAATGTAATATATGTTGCATATTTAATATAAGTTTGCATAAAAATTAATAAAACCAAGTTCAAGAGAAAGCGAAAAGTTATAACCCTGACAATCTTCTAGGTTTCTAATGTCTAAAAGCTTCTGATTTCATTAATTTCCATGGGGAGAATATACACAAAAGTGATATCAGTGACATCACCTGTATGTGTATGACATACCCAGCATGTATGACATCGCCTGTATGTATATGTCATATGCTTATCTATGCAAAAGTTTTAGTCACACATAACGCAGGCTGCTTCAGAAGGAAGATCAATGCGATACAAATGAGCAGCAAAGTCTTCATGCTCAGTAAATAATCGAAAAGGCTCCCCTCTTGGTTAATCAAGAATATCAACATTGAGCCGCGTTGGCTCAGGGGATAGAGCGTTCGCCTTCCAATGAGGTGAGCCGGGGTTCGATCCCGGCGATGGCTGGTCGATACAAATTCCGCGTCCGGCTTGCACAGGCCACAGTGCTGACGTGAAATATCCTCAGTGGTAGACGGATCATGGGTTAGAGGTTCTCGTGGTCTTCCTCTCCATGTAACGCAAATGCCGGTTAGTTCCATCAAAAAGTCCTAAACGAAGGCAAATTTCTCCCACTACTTGATCCAGGAGTTCCCTTGCCTTCTGGGTTCGGTTCAAAATTACAAGTCTGCGGAGTTGAACATTAGTAGTCGTAAACCAAAACATTGGGTCGGCTGTTCAACGACGGTTATAAAATAATTAGAAACAAGATCTTTTGAACTGAAACTATAGTTTAATGTTAACCCTAATAGAAAATTTGAAAATGAAATAATTTAAACAAAAAATTCGTTAGTCAGGCTATTAACAATCTAAACAGGGATCCGAATCTACCCTTAAATTGGTGTCCGTAGCTGCAAGTGTTATTGTTTATTTGCAAATCGACTGGTAAATAGAGTATAGCAGGGATATTCAACACCCGGGCCTGAGACTGGTACCGGTTAGTGGATCAAATAGTACCGGACCGCCTAAATTACTTTCAATTTATTTAAGGTGATGATGTACTTCTCTCGGGTTTTTGTTGCTTCCCATGGACGCGAGATTAACTGGGAGGTGAGAGACGTAATCTAAAGCCACACGAATACCATGCATGTAATTGTATTTTATTTTGAAGGTATGTTTGAATGCGATTAAATTAAAATTCCAAAACATAAATAATCGACGTCTCACTCCTCTCCTTCATCTGGCCGAAGTGAAGTTATCAAACACTGGACTGTCCAAGGCTATAAAAAGGTTGGAGAACACTACTGTATAGTATAAGTAGAGTTGTTTCAAACGTTCCTGCTAATTTTTTTTCTTTTTAAAACAATAAATTATAAAGGACTTTTATAGGCAATAGTAAATTTTTTAAACAAAACTGAAAAGTAAATAATATATTTTATAATTTTGCGTACATTTCATAGGTTTTTGATCTTGAAGAAGGAAGAGAAATCTGGGATAATGATCATGTGAGAACATTTCTTTTTCTTATTTCTTAAAGTGCCGTATATAATACTTATTATTTAAAATCACAGTCAATTCTCACCAACTACATCATAGTTTGTAATTAAAGTTATAATGGATAAATGAATAATCTAAAATATTTTGATTTCTTTTCAGATTGTACTTTTGGAAGTTGAAGAGATTGTAAATCAAATGCAAAAGGAATTTGAAGTTATCAAAGCTCTCGGAAATGATTTAGAAGTAATAAAACTTATATTATTGAAATTCAGATGAGCAATGCTATTAAATTTTCGACTTGGTGCCAATTTTCAAATTTTGACATTTACTTGCAGTATAAAATTGATTCAAAATTTATGATCTACAATGTTAGAAAATTTCGACCATGTTGAGATGTAATATTTTTCGAATTTGCTACAAACTTAAAACAGTACCAAGTTGAAAATGTTTTAATAGTTTACTATTATCTTAACCTTGTTATCTTGAATCTAGTTTCGTGATAAAATAATTCAATTAGAACGGAAACAGGTTAACTCATATTAAGGTTGCAGGAACTTTTCACATTATTGTGCTTCTTGATAGCGAAATTTTGGTTCTAAATTGATTCGATTTTATTGTTACTGTGTTTCTGCTAGAAATGATTTTCAACTTTTGAGAGATGTACCTCAACTAGAAGTAAACTTCAGAAAATTTAAGAATAGTTCGCAGACTGTGGCCGATTCTGTTAAAGATTTTTTTAGATCGAGGAACAACGAAATTACCGCAATAATTTTACAGTTCCACAAAATCATGGCAATTTTGTAGCATTACTAACCTCAAAAAGTTTACAGTAAATATGCAGAAATATTGTATTATTTAGTAGTGCCATCTATCGTGACTGATGGGAAATACTAGACTTTTTATGTTAAGCTGGTACGTACCTATTCTAATACTCAAAAACTTATACTAATATTTATTGGAGAGAGAAGGACACTGGAAACTTTTCATTTCATGAAGGAATATAAGAAATTTTGTGGTGTCATTTCCGGGATTCAAACTTCCGTTCAGTCACTCATAAAGTTACCAGATTAGCCCTCTCTGCTACTGTAAGTATCTAGCAGCTAAAAACTAAATGGCTTCATAAAGTTGGCCTAGTTTACGCGGATAAAATTCATGCTTGTTTAATCATAGTCAGTGAAAAAAGTCAATAGACGATTTATCTCACAGTTAACAGTTAGAATACCTCTTTTCTATGATTATTTGACTGTATTTGTTGAATATAGTAAAATAACATTTAAATGAGTTATTATTAATTCATTTTTCTGAGAAATTTCTAACAATATAGATTTGCGTCTTTTTTGTTGTTTACCTTAGCTTCTGGATTTGTTTTTTTCTTCTTCTTCTTTTTTTTTTAAATTTTTCAGAACGAATTTTAAAAACAGGCATTTTTGTAAATATTATGCTTACTAATATTCAATTGAAAATACTATGAACCATATTTTTTCAAAATTATTTATTTAACTTAAAAATGCTTATTGTAAGCAATAAAAAGATATATTGTTTCAATTATATATATTTATTTAGAACATGTTTAAAAATAGGCTGAAATTAGCGAATTTATGAAAGAGAGGCTTATCTTTGAAACTGAAAAATCTGAAACTATGTATCCATTTCCCAATTCAATTATATAAACTCTTTTGATATAAAGTTGTTTGAAACCTGAACTAAAAACTTATTTTGATTCGTAAAATGCGTCCAATATTGGTTCTAAAACAGTTCTAGGTTAGGATGAATTTGAATAAAAAATTACAATGTTAAAAACAAAAGCTTTTTCGCCATTCCTTTCAAAAATATAATATATAATACTTGCTTTTTATGCGACTGACGATGGCGAGTATTTAAAATAGTTTTTTTTTACCTTTTTTAATTGTGGGAATGGAGCATACTACATAAAAAAGAAAATTTTATGTTATACTTGCTCGATGTCTTTCGTTGCAATGAGTTAAATCTCTTACGGAAATATAGCAAGTGGTGCCACTATCTAGCCATGATAATAAAAAGTAAACCATTTGCTTAATCAAACTTTATTTGATATTTTTAAATGCATGCTTTTGAAATCATACATCAAAGAGTAATCATCTCAAATATTATCTTCTTATTTTTCCAATGGAAGAATTACGCAGAGTGAATCTTTAATTGCTTTGTTAAGAATAATAATATAATAATAATAATAGAATAAGAATAATAGAATAGAATAATGATAGAATAGGAATGATAATAGAATAGAATAATGATAGAATAGGAATGATAATAGAATAAGAATAATAATAGAATAATACGAATGATAATAAAGTAAGAATAATAATAGAATAAAAATAATAATGGAATAAGAATAGTAACAGAATAAAAATAATAATAGAATAAGAATAATAATAGAATAAAAATAAAAATAGAATAAGAATAGTAATAGAATAAAAATAATAATAGAATAAGAATAGAATAATAATAATAATAATAATAATAGAATAAAAATAAGAATAGAATAAGAATAGAATAATAATAATAATAATAATAATAGATTAAAAATAATAATAGAATAAGAATAAGAAAATGTCACGAAAACTGTTGTGGCGCTAGTCATAGAAAGAGACTCAAAGGTGTGGTAATGACGCCTCCGTTTTCTGAACTATTTTGGCTGGAATAGTCAGTCTTCTCCAGAAACGCACCCTCTTCCTTAAATACGCTTGGTTCCCATAGCATGCTTTCTGGTATTGACAAGTGGCATAAATAACAAAAACAACAGCAGTTTGATTTAAAACTATGTTTTTGAGTTATACATAAGCGCAAATACCACAATATCTGTGTTTGACACAAATCGGTTTCTGGCATTTCTCATAACTGGCCTATTAAAACTTAGAAGCGTTATTCGTATATCTCTTTCAACGCCCTTTTTTCTTCTTTTTTTTGTGCACCAAACAGGGTTTGACACTTATCGTACCACTAGCTCAGTAGAGATTTGAGATCTTTCAATAGATTTTACGTTTTTTCATCAAGTATTAATTTGTGACCGTTATTTTGCATGCTTACATCCTTTAATGAGCATCAATTTTATGACTTGTTCACTCATCCTAAGGCTAATGTGAGAAGATAACCCTTAATAAAAGAAAAAAAGACAGTTCACACAAGAAATATACTTCCGAATTTTATTACGCTACATTAAAACTTCAAATTTATTAAACAAAATACGTATACATAATTTTAAAAAATGGATCTTTTGTAAAGTTTTCGTCATAAAACTTGTTCTCTTTAGCCTCTCTTTCCCTATTAGGGAAGGTTGTTTTCAAAAAAACTAATATATTTAGCTTCTTAATTTAAAAATGTAATTTTATTTATTCCATTTCTTTCAAGTTATTTAGCATAAAAATACTTTTCAGAATTTTTATACTCTGAAAAATAATTTTACTATAATAGTCATTGGTAATATAAAAAAAGAAACGTAGTTATTCTCAGTTAAAATATTACGAACTAGATTCTTATTATTTTTGATAAAATAAATTTTCAAAATTAATGCCACATTAATTTAAATTTTTTTTTCTTCTTTTAACATCAAAATTTCGAGCATACAAATATCTTACAACGCATTATTATTTATATCTGAACTAAACTTTTCAACCGCTTTCTGTAGAAAATGAAAGAAGACATTCTTAAAAAAGCCGACAAGAAAGAAATGGAGGAATCTCTAGCATTAGTAAGTTCTTCTTTTTCTTCTCTTTTTTTCCACCATTCCAAATTAACTTACTCACTCTATTTCCGAAATGGTAATTACATTTTTATTATGGTGCTGCCATCTTTTATAAAAAGTATCAACTTGAATAGCTCTGAAATGTTTACAAATTTTGCGTGATAATATATGATTCAATACATTTTTTAACCCAAAATTAATTATGTTAATTTCAGAAAGCGGATATTACATTAGTAAACACCAAAGTGGATCAAGTTGAATTCGAAACTGCATTTGAGGAACTAGGTGAAGCAATAGGGCTACTTGGAATAAAATTCCAAAAGAAAGTAAGAGAAATTATTCTTTTTCTTTCCTTTTTTTAATTTTATAAAACGGTTTATAACAAATACATTTTAAAGCGTATTTTTCGGAAAAAAATTTCCTACTGTCTCGTTAACTCTTTTTAAAATAAACCTTTAAAATATAATGAACTTCAATGTCAAAAATTTTCAAATGTTATATCAAAATTGTTCTATGCCGAAACCATATTTTCGTCAAAAGACGTTTGTTGCTAATGAAAATGCACTATGGTTAAACCAATAGTTCTCAATCAATTTTGACTCATTCCACCTTTTCCCTACACAATGCTTATACTTAACCAATGATCCTCAACCGATTATGACTCCTTACTCCTTTTCTCTATGCATTGCTTATACTTAAAAAATGGTCCTCAATCAATTTTCACTCATACCTCCTTTTCCTCATACAATGCCTATACTTAACTTATAGTTCTCAACCAATTTTCACTCATTCCTTCTTTTCCCTATATAGTGCTTAAACTAAACCAGTTGTTCCCGTTTCTCCTTTTTCAAAATTTCCGGAAACTTATTTTATCAAGTTTGAGTGTTATTAGCCTCTTTTTTGTTCAATAGAATACATGTTGTTCTTTTTTTTCTTTGCTAATTCTTGGATGTACAGATTAGATATTGGGGAAATATGGCAACGCTGAGCACTTTCAAAGTACAATCTATTTCTATGAGTCATTTCCATTTGTAACAAAGTTGAAAGCCTGAGTAGCGAAGATAAGACTACTAAAATAGAAACAACATTTTGATAGAATTATACTGTACTATTTTAAGTAAAATAAAGTGCCTTAACAAAAATATGAAGCCCAAATATCTGTTGTACGCAGTGAAAATCGTTGTCCTAAATTAAAAATTCCGTAGATGGATTTAAGTCAAAGAAATTTGTACCTTTCGCTGTGCTTACTGACTTCCAAATACCAGTCTGATCCTTAAAGTACAATTCAACTTTGAAAGTAAATGTTTCAAATTATTTTTTACTAGTTTTGTGGTGAAACTAATTGATAAAGCGGGTTCAAATACCGAAGAACGAATACTGTCAAATTTGACTTCTATACTGAACCAAATCTATCACCTAGACTGAATTGAAACCAAATCATTGAAAGTGTTTAGATAATTTTGCAAAATCCTGTTTTTTATTGTTAGATCTTATCTGAAATTCTAATAATGTCTAAAATTATACACGATGCCGCTGCCATGAATGTACTTGTTTAAATATTATTAAAAGTTCTGTTTTTAATCTCACAGTTCGAAATTTCTATCTTTGTTTCAAAATGCCAACTTAGAACTGCTAGCCAAACGCTTAGAACAACATTTTGCCAAATTTAAGTGGTTATCCAGACATGATGCGATAATCTGCCTAAGTGCAAAAATAGTAATAAATCATTTTAACTTGCCACAACTGCTACAATTATTTGCCTTTAACAGTAGTGCGTACTAGTTTATTGTATATTCAACATTAAAAGAATGGAAATACAATAAATATTTGTCTTGTTTTGACAGAATGATGAATGGGAGGTACGAGCAGCTGAACTTTGGGATGCTGTGAACAGTAAAATGACGAGAGACGTGTTTGAATCTGCTCGCATTAAAATTGAAGAACGTCTAACAGCACTCATGTATGGTCTAAAAACACTCAAACAAGTAGTCGAGGAACTTTTATATCCAGATTCTGGTGGTGTTACCAGGTACTTTTGGTTTATTTAATTAACCTTGATCAAAGCAAAGAAGATCCTTGCTCGTTTAATTGTCCGATAATTTTGTAAACATTAAAGACTGATTTAAGCTGTATGTACTGATTTACACAGCACAAAATGTATTGGAATATATATATTCAGGTATATGCACCCACATAGCCTTAAAAGGGCCGTTTGGGTCTAAATGTTTAAAAATGCCTACGCAAACCCAAACAGCAGAAAAAAAGAAGATGTTATTTATGATTATTAAATGTTTAAGACTCCGAACTATATTAAAACATCACAAATAGTGTCATTTATGTTTAAGAAATATTTAAAAACTTGACAATAGTGCGAAATGTTAAACCCACGATTAACGAAAAGACAATTAACTTGCACAAAGTTAAGTAAATTTATTTAAGCTATTGATTACTGTGTTAAATGCCAATTAATTCATAAAATAGTATAATAATGAAATTATTTCAATCAAAATTAAAGAAGCTAAGATTTATTTCTGTTAAGAAGAAATTCTTTATCAGTTCAATCAGATCAATTAATCAGTTTGTGAATATTGAAAACAGTTTATAGTTTCACAAAAAAAAATTAATGTGCATACTGACAAATTATGTAAAATAAATAGTAAAACTATAAAATTTGTATGTAAAATAAATAGTAAAACTTTAAAATTTTATGTAAAATAAATAGTAAAACTATAATATTTCTCTTTTTATATTTTAACACACCCAAAATGGATTTCTGTTCTCAGCTAATGAGAGCTATTTCATAATGCAATTTTTTTTAGGAAAAAAATTAGTGATGTATCTCTTTTTACATTTTAACACACCCAAAATGGATGATTTCTGTTCTCAGCTAATGAAAAATATTTAATAATGCAAATTTTTTTAATAAAAAAAATTAGTGGTGTCTCTTTTTTTACGTTTTAACACAACCAAAATGGATTTCTGTTCTCAGCTAATGAAATCTATTTTATAATGCAATTTTTTTTTAAGAAAAAAACTTTTTTGATGTCTCTTTTTTTACATTTAAACACACTAAAAACGAATTTTTGTTTACAGCTAATGGAAGTTATTTTTATTTAATTATGACATTTGTTAAAGACTTGAAATTTCTTCCTTGATTCTTTAAATTTAAGATTTTAATGATATTTCTGTTTCATTATCTAGGTGTATTACTTGCAGGCGACCTGCGGATATTGCCGGCCAGTAAGATTATCTATTTTTGTATATATTTTTATCGATATATTTTTATCTATATATTTTGATTTAATATATATTTTTGGACTATAATAATTAAAGTTATTTTCATAACTAGGTTAGTCCTAGGAGAGTTTACGCAAATTTCAAAGAAATATGTCAAAAAAATTCAAATATTATTTTTTTTTTTTGCTAAACCAACGTTTAATAATGATGACAATATGTATATATTTTTGCATTTTCATTACTATTTTGTTGTTATGCTTCATTTTAAACAACAGCTATAATAAAATTAAGCAAGCTCTTTTTCGAAATCTATCATTACGGGCTTGAAGAAACTGTGCTCATGTACAGAATATTTTGTTATTAATAATAACTACAATTAAATCATCAAAAATAATAATAATACTTAAAACTTACTTGTAAAGTTTATGCAAATACATATCATAACATCAGAAGTCAATATTTTATNCCAATGGTCCTCAACCGATTTTGACTCCTTTCTTCTTTTCTCTATACATTGCTTATACTTAAAAAATCGTCCTCAATCAATTTTCACTCATACCTCCTTTTCCTCATACAATGCTTATACTTAACCTAGAGTTCTCAACCAATTTTGACTCATTCATTCTTTTTCCTATATATAGTGCTTAAACTAAACCCTGTTGTTCCCATTCCTCCTTTTTCAAAACTCCCAGAAACTTATTTTGTCACGTTTGAGTGTTATTAGCCTCTTTTTTTCAATAGAATACATGTTGTTCTTTTTTTCTTTGCTAATTCTTGGATGTATAGATTAGATATTGGGGAAACGCAGCGACGCAGAGCACTTTCAAAGAACAATCTATTTCCTTGAGTCATTTTCATTTGTAACAAAGTTGAAAGCCTGAGTAGGGAAGATAGTACTACTAAAAAGGAAACAACGTTTTGATGGAATTATACTGTGCTATTTTAAGTAAAATAAAGTGCCGTAACAAAAATATGAAGCCCAAATATCAGTTGTATGCAGTGAAAATCATTGTCCTTAATTAAAAATTCCGTAGATGTATTTAAGTCAAAGAAATTTGTACCTTTCGCTGTGCTTACTGACTCCCAAATACTAGTCTGATCCTTAAAGTACTATTCAACTTTGAAAGTAAACGTTTCAAATTATTTTTCACTAGTTTTGTGGTGAAACTAATTGATAAAGTGGGTTCAAGTACCGAAGAACCAATGCTGGTAAACTTGACTTCTACACTGAACCCAAACTATCACCTAGCTTGAATTGAAACCAAATCATTGAAAGTGTTTATATAATTTTGCAAAATCTTGTTTTTTATTGTCTGAAACTCTAATAATGTCTAAAATTATACACGATGTCGTTGCCACGAATGTACTTGTTCAAATATGATTAAAAGTTCTGTTTTTAATCTCACAGCTCAAAATTTTTATCTTTGTTTCAAAATGCCAACTTAGAACTGCTTGCCAAACGCTTAGAACAACATTTTGCCAAATTTAAGTGGTTATCCAGACATGATGTGATAATCTGCCTAAGTGTAAAATAGTAAAATCATGCAAAATAGTAATAAATCATTTTAACTTGCCACAACTGATATAATTATTTACCTTCAACAGTAGTGCGTACTTGTTAATTGTTTATTCAACATAAAAAGAAGGGAAATGCGATAAATATTTGTCTTGTTTTGAAAGAATGATGAATGGGAGGTACGAGCAGCTGAACTTTGGGATGCTGTGAACAGTAAAATGACGAGAGACGTGTTTGAATCTGCTCGCATTAAAATTGAAGAACGTCTAACAGCACTCATGTATGGTCTGAAAACACTCAAACAAGTAGTCGAGGAACTTTTGTATCCAGATTCTGGTGGTGTTACGAGGTACTTTTAGTTTATTTAATTAACCTTGACCGACACAAAGATCTTTGCTCGTTTCATTGTCCTATGATTTAGTAAATAAACATTAAGTTTACATATATATATAACACTTAACCAATAGCTCNTGTGTGTGTGTGTGTGTGTGTGTGTGTGTGTGTGTGTGTGTGTGTGTGTGTGTGTGTGTGTGTGTGTGTGTGTGTGTGTGTGTGTGTGTGTGTGTGTGTGTGTGTGTGTGTGTGTGTGTGTGTGTGTGTGTGCGTGTGTGTGTGTGTGAAATTCAAAATGTAGAGCAAATATGGAACAGTAACAGAACAATGAAAAAAGGGGGGAAAGAAAAGTGATAAGAAACCGAAAAAAAATATCCAAAAAAAAGGAAAGAAATTAATAAAAATCCGAAAAATAAAAGATATAGTCTTTTCATCAGCTCACACGATTATATCCACAAAAAGGAGTGCTTTTTAATATTGTATCAATATAGCCAAAGCAAAATATATCAATACAATAATGTGAGGAACACTCGAAAAATTTTTACAAAAAATTTACAACAAATAAAATAGAGCAAATTAAGTAAAAATATCACATAAAAATAGAAAATAAATTATAAGGAAAAAACGGAAAAAGCATGAAACGAAATCTATAAAGCGAGTAGCGAATTCAAATGAATTTACATGAACGGGAAATTTTTCAAGAATGATTTAAAATATTTTCGTAACAAGATTACCAGATTGCAAAATATGAATCCAAAAGCGCAAATTGAGGTAAAAGCGTAAATAGAGGGGTTTTGTATTAAAGTGTTACTTATGATTATTAAAAGTATAAGACTTCAAACTATATTAAAACAGCACAAAAAGTGTCATTTATGCTTAAGAAATATTTAAAAATTGGACAATAGTGCGAAATGTTAAACCCACGATTAACAAAAAACTTACGATTAACGAAAAGACAATTAATTTGCACAAAAGTTAAGTAAATTTATTTCAGCTATTGATTACTGTGTTTAAAGCCAATTAATTCAAAAAATAGTATAATAATGAAATTATTTAAATCAAAATTAAAAAAGGTAAGATTTACTTCTGCTAAGGGGAAATTCCTTATTAGTCCAATCAGATCAATTAATCAGTTTGTGAATAATGTATTGATTATCAGTTTATAGTTTCACAAAAAGATGTCATTTAATGTGCATACTGACAAATTATGTAAAATAAATAGTAAAACTATAAAACTTTTAGAGAAAAATATTTCTGATGTGTTTTATTTAATTATGACATTTAATTATGACATTTGTTAACGACTTGAAATTTCTTTGTTGATTTTTTATATTTAGGATTTTAATGATGTTTCTGTTTCATTATCTAGGTGCATTACTTGCAGGCGACCTGCGGATATAGCCGGCCAGTAAGATTATCTATTTTTTATATATTTTTCATTATAATAATTAATATTATAATATAATATTTTTATTATAATAATTATTTTTAATAAGAATCAACAATTACGTATATCTTCATCTTTTGGTTAATGCGACAAATAATTCTCATTAATCTTATAAGGCAAACCTAGGAGAGTTTACGCAAATTTCAACAAAATATGTCAAAAAAATTCAAATAGAATTTTTTTTTGTTAAACCAACCTTTAATAATGATGCCAATATATATATTTGCATTTTCATTACTACTTTGTTGTTATGCTTCATTTTAAACAACAGTTATAATAAAATTAAGAGAGCTCTTTCTCGAAATCTGTTATTTTGAGATAGAAGAAACTGCGCTCATGTATAGAAGATTTTGTTATTAACAATAACTTCAATTAAATCATCAACAATAATAATTTTACTTAAAACTTTACTTGTAAAGTTTATGTAAATATATATCATAACATCAGAAGTGGATATTTTATTTTAAATATTAAAGAACCATTAAAAATTTGAAGAATTAGGCATATTAAATTTTGTTAAATGGACTCAGAACTTGAAAAGTTACTGTAATTTGTCAGCATACTTCCTAATCCTAAAATACTGTGCAATTTTTCCTAGAATAGAAACAATGCTCCATGTCCTGGAAGCAAACTCTCAGATTCTCTCCATTTGGTAAAAGAGATTGTGGGACAGATTATTAAAACATGTCTGCCTATAGAAATGTATGAAAATAATAACTTTTAACTATTTGATTAAAATTATATGTGTTAAGTGTTATCATTTACTCATTGCTCAAATTCTCAAAACATAGAAAGAATTAACTCTCTAAAGTTATGAATAATTTAAGTGGCGATATATTATAAATTATTTAATTATTGTTAATAATAACTTATTAATCGCATTGAGCTATTTATTTATTTATTTTTTTAAAGTCATTTAAAAAAAATAATTTCGATGCAACTCTAAGCTCTAGTTAAAAATAAACAGTGAATTTGATGAAAAAATTACTTTATGAATGTCTTAGTATACATATTTTATTAATAATAATTCTATAAATCACTTTGAATGAATTAATATCAAAAATGTTACAAAAATATGTCAAAATATTTAAACCATTACGAGTGTCTTTTAAAATCAAATAATTTGCGAAACTCATTTTTGAACCCAGACGTAAAAAAGAAAAAAAATTAAGGAGGGAAATAGAAAAATACTTTGCATGTAAGCTTAATAAAATTAAATAATCAAAAGTAAAATATAATTAAAAGATAATTGAATCTTTTTAGAAAGAATGCAATTTTTAAAATGAGTTTTTTATTCATTTAATGACCCTTTTATTTATTTAATGACTCTTTTATATTTAATTATTTAATTATCAGAAGAATTACTCTGATCAAATAAATCGTAATTAAAAATCCGAAAAAAGGTATTTCTTGAAAGAATTAGCTATTGTTTTAGCATTTTAAAAAAAGTAATTAAATGTACTATTTTAAATATTACATTTAAGAACTTTGAGGTTAGAAAAACTGCCTGAATTGATAATATTTTGAAGAAAAATTTTAAAAAGTTTAGAATAATTATTTCAGCAATTATAACTCAGAAATATATGTCATTAATTCGTGTATGAAGTGATATTGAAAAATATCAATAAAATTTTGATTTCAAAACTTGGTGTTCAATAAATTTCAAAATACTAAAATCAATTGTTTGAGATTAACTGATTTTTAAATGATTAATTGATTTTGAATGAAGACTAACTAGATTGTTGATAAGAAGTTAATTTTTAAATCTTTAAAGCTATTTTTCGAAGGCTCTGTTATCGCATGAATTAATGTTTTTTTGCGAATAATAGGCCATTTTCATAACTGTTTTGAGTTTGCAACAGTTAATCACAACTGTTACGTCAAGTTCAGTTTGCCAGAGCCCACTATGTTTATTCTGAAAATAGCTCAAAACTGTAAAGTGATTGTGTTCTAACTTTTAATATTTAAGAATTTACTCCAATGTTGCATTATCTTGGCTCATAAAAATTCACAAAAGGAAAAAAATGGGAATAAGGCATTAAATTTGATAAGTTAATCAAGGTGAAAAAATGTAGCCACATTGGTGATTTCTAAAAAAGTTTAATAACTTAATAAACTTTTAATTATTTGTCCATTCTAAAGCCAAGATAATCCTTTACAGCAAGATAGAATATAACAGTATAAAATTATAGCTTTACTTCAAGTGTAAAGCGCATGAATTGTGGATGTTTTATTTTCCTTGGCAAAAGAGCTTTAAAAAACCATGTTAATAGTTGATTTTCAAAATCACAATCAATGAGATACCTGCAAGTGACGTAGTTTGTATATATTGACTCTGATTAAAACGTGACATTTGTTTACGCTATCAATTGTTCTTTCTATTCTATTTCGAGCAACCCAAGCCCGTGAAGTATCAATTCTTTTAATTGACGAAGATCTTTTACAAAGATTTAAATTATTTCACTGAATAATCATTAATAAACACAAAGATAGGTATGAAGTCATGCAGAACATAAACAAACTAATTATGCATTGAAGCTGCCAGGTATGCGAAACTAAAATTTATCACGGTTACAATAAAATACATAAACAATTAATAAACATAACTTAAGTAAAAGACATAGAAGAGAAATAATTATATTTTAACATATTCTATGAACGATACGACGTTGTATTTAATTAACTTCACGTTAATTAACATTCTAACTCATGTGGAGAGACTTAGCTCGACTTTAACACGCCATCTTGTTTATAAACGTTCAGCTGGCGCTGAGGTCATTGGTCACATGTCTGGGTAACAATGATCTTCTTCGTATTGAAATGCAAATACCTAATTGAATACAATTCTGTGTGAAAATTTAATAATAAAAAATTTTTAAAGTACAAATTATTTTTGAAAGCTGTTTTTCGAAAGCTCTGTCGTCACGTGAAAACGATTTTTTTTGCGAATAATTTGCTATTTCCATAACTGCTGATCATACATGCTAAATCAAGTTTGAACTATCTTTAACCATCGACCTTTATGTTAAAGCTGAAAATGGCGCTAAACGAAAAAGTCTCAGTTTCATGAAAATGAAAAGCGTTTGTTAATTAAATTTTTAATATTTGAAAAATTATTTCAGCTACAAATTTTCTGAGCTCATAATATTTTGCGAAAATTGGGAATTATTAATTATTTTTGATAATTTACATCTTGGTCGAAAAATAATTCAAAATTGGCAATATTTGGGGCAACTTTCAAAATATTTAAATTATTTGTCTTAAGTCCCAATATATCTTTACAATAAGATGGCACACTGTAAAAGCTGCGGTGCTATATCTCTCCGAATCAGAGGTTGACTATGCCAAAGATTTGTGTAAAGAAGAATTTTATTTCAGTTTAACACCAAATCAAGCTCTCATATGCAGTTTAAAGGGTATGATTTAAATCTAAACACTTGTAATGGAATAAGCTTACATCAAACACTCACCCAATCACACCAAATGAGAATTATTTTCACTTCAGAAAACATCAATGTAAGCAAACTTTGAATATCGTCTGTTGCTTGTTTACATTTGAATACATCTTAGAGCTAGTTTGTGGAAATCTTCGAAGCTGCTATACATCAACCAAGACAAAAGTTTATCGTTAAAAGAAATATGAATGTTTTTAGTTTTGTAATAAGGATTATAGTTTTTTGATTTTTAAATTTTTGAAAACTGTACTAGGTAATCTTATCATGTATAATTTTATATGTTCAGCCTATTTCAAACTTTTCTTTGTATTCTTTTTGTGCTACACATGTTTTTGATTTATAAACTATTTGTATTTTAAGAATTAGTGTATATATGCATTTGTAATCAATGATTCATATTGTAGGATCATATTGTAGGGTAAAACTATCTTTACTGACTTTTGCGTGTATACTTTGTGGGTTCTTGTGACTTTTGTGTGTATACTTTGTGGGTTCTTGTGACTTTTGTGTGTATACTTTGTGGGTACTTATGCATTTTTTGTGTTTATGCATGTTTCTTATGTTTCTTATGTGACTTTTGTGTGTTTTGTGTGTACTCTAATTATAAATTTCTATGCTACTGAATTAAAACAGGAGACGGCTAATTTACACAAAGTAGTGTAAATGTAAAAGAGCATTCTTGGTACAGTGGAACACTATGTGGAGCTCCATCTAGGAGTGGGGTCGGGATAGCCTGGTCGACAGGGAGTTGGGTCCATGTCCAAGAGGTCTTGAGATCGATCCCCGTTGGCCGAAGACTCCCCGTGTAGTAAATGGTTACTGATACAGGTTATATCTGCCGGGTCACAAAGTCCCCCAAGTTCCCTTAATAAATCAATATCTCAGGATTGGAATTGGTACTGAATTGGAGATTAATGATTCTTTGGTTCAGGTCGAAATTACAATCTGTAGATGAATAATTTGGCCCACCCTGTAAAACGGGCTGTGACGTGTATGTAACAGAAATCGTATTCCTGGTCATAGATGGCGCCACTGAGAAACTAGAAATGCACCCTCTGCATTAAATTCGCTTTTTTTCACGCCCAACTGCGCTAAATATATGCCCAAGCAGGGCATTTATTTAGCGCAGTAATTGGGTAACATCTTGTTTGCTTTGAAAAATTTTAATTGCAACAAGAAACTAGTAACCATACTAGTACCATTAAACTAGTACGATATACTTTTCATTAGAGTAAAGGTTCAGCGTTTCAAATAAAGAGATATTTTACAACAAAATCATCGTTTGAAAATCATATTTTTTTACGAAAGACTGAGAAATAAAACCGAAGCATTTGCTTTGTTATTGTTATGGAAACAAACTTAAAACGTTTAATTAGTTTAAACTGAATTGCTCTGTTCTTTACATTTTATTTTCACTGTATATGTTGAAGAAAAACTGATTTTAATATTTAGAAAGTAATAAGGAAAAAATAAGAATAAACACACATTCAGAAATTGTAAAAGGATTAAGTTTAAAGTTTAGTGTGTTTATTATTGTAAAGGTTAGAAAATTACATGCACTGAATTAAAGATAAATAATTTATTTTTATTATAGTGTATGCATCAATTTGTCTATGAGCCCAAAGCGACCCTTTCAGTCCTCAAAAGACAGCTCATTTGAAGACAAAGAAAAGTAAGCAATTATTCAAAATGTCAAGTCTGGTTTTGGTTATGAAATAGTTTTAATTTAGTATGAATTTTTCTAAAAGGATTATATATTTTTTACCAATTTATATTATATCAGCTGGCTGCATAAATTAACGGTCATTTTTACTAATTATTCTGCCGTTCCTTACAATTACGGTTCTGTTGCAATTACTTTTTTCTCAACGAAGATATCTGGCTGAATAAGTAAATAGAAAACTCTCCGCATTTTATTAAAATTTCTTACAGTGTAATAGGCCTTGTCTCGTCTACGAACGAGTCACGTCTACGAACACTACGAACGAGTTTTCTCGTGCTTTAGAGATTTACTCATGAACGTGATCTATTTCATCATACTCTCGTCGTACGACCTTAGAAATAATTTCACAGCTGAATGTGTTAACAAAAATTTGTTTCACATTTTATACTTGTTGCGGCTTACTGATTTATCTGAATATTAAGAGAACTAATAACGAGTTATCTTGAGTTTCAGACAGTTATGTACGAGTGAAATGTATATCTCACCATGTTGCCTATACACAACCTTCGAAATTCGCAAAACACTTGTTCGAGATAGATACAGCATATTGGTAATATAAATAATGATCAATTTCCTTTTTCATGGTGCTAAATATAATATAAATACCAAATATTTGTCTAAGAATAATGTAACGTTAGTTGCTAAACCATTTACTTTAAACAATTTCTTTTTGCAAAATATAAACAATTTTTTCGGGAAAAAATAAACTTGAGCCTTGGCGAAATTGGCGACTTATGTTTGGCGCCATTCCTGTTTGCACGGTACACCGTGGTAACAGGAATGGCGGCCAAAACATAATGATATTTCAATAAAACATTGGAAAATTTGAACAAAACATTGGCCCAAAACTTTATAAAATTGCAATGAACCCAATAAAAGCAAAGTTAATAAACCCAATAAAATGCATTTTGAATGGAAACAAAAGTTAATGGAGTAAGCACAGAAAGAAGAGGGAAAAAACTAACTTCTTCATTAAGCTTGAATATCCTCAGATTTAGGTGCACAGAATTCTCTAATTGCAGTTAGATACTGTCTAAATTTATCATAAATAGAATTTGTGTACCTCGATCGCTTTTTTATGACTGGCCACATACCTTAGAGCTTATTGACCAGAAGCAAAAGTAACCTTACCTGCCGGTATCCAACGTAGAACTAACGGACCTCTGAAATTACATACTATACCGTTGAACATTAAAAAATAACGTTAAAATCTAAACCAATCAGAATCACGATTGGGTTTCAACATCGCACAGCTTGGCAATCAACCACGATTACAACTTGGCGAGAAACAAGGGGCACCCACAAATATAGTCTACCCAATTTTTTCATTAATAACCAAGATGCTATGCCCAATTTATTTCATAATGAATTGCTAACTTAAGCATTCACATTGTTTACGTAACCATTTATCAATAAGATCCTTAGTGAATTTTATGTTTCATTCTTATTAATGTTTTTCGCAACAAAAAAAAATTAGAATTTCCGAAGTTTTGGATCAGATTAAGAAACAAAAACTTGATGGTCCACCCTATGGAGGAAGTAAAGATACCGTAATAAAGTAAGTTCATTTTTTTTTCAATACAAAGCAACTACTTTTATTTTTAGCAAATATAAAAAGTATTACGTAAAAACTTTTTTGACTGTACCAGAAAAAGAATTGCATTCTGAGACTTTTTCTCCCANATTTTCAATTGGATTGAGATCAGGGCTGTTTCCTGGCCATGGTAATATATCTATGCCTTTATTTTTGAACCATGCTTTACATACTTTTGCTGTGTGGCATGGAGCTGAATCCTGCTGAAAAATAAATGGTTCGTTGTTGGGGAAGAGATCCCTGATGGAAGGTATCAATTTTGGTTTAAGGACAGTTTCGATGCACTTTTGGCATTCAGGATTCCAAAAAGTGTCCACACTTTTGGCCACCACTGTATGTGGTGATGAAATCTGAAATATATATCATTCATATAGTATGCATGATATATCCTTCTTTAAAAAATCAAAGCGTTATCAATTTTTAATTATGCTTGCTTTTGTCTATTACTGTGACTCTAAGTGGGCATTTTGCAATTGTTGTAATTCAATGATTTTTTTAATTAATTTTCATCATAGGGTTTATAAATAATTAATGGAATCTTTTTTCGTTTGTAAAACCATAAAATGTATTTTATTTCACAAACTGGATTTAGCGGATTTGTTTTTAAAAAGTTCAAAAAGTGTAATATAATATCAATATTAAAATAATATCAATATCGATATAAAAATAATATCAAAATTAAAATAATATCAAAATTAAAATAATATCAATATAAATTTAATATCAAAATATAATACACCATCTGTCGTGATCACCGACCTTATTTTATTTACTTTAGAAACCTATAAATTCAAAAAATATATTGCAATTATCAGATTGTATGTTTTGATAACTGCTTTTACAAGTTGTTGCAAACACAAACATTAGTCCCTAAAACCGATAAGTATGAATTTTAATATCGCGATGTATTCGGTAAAAATACCGAAAATTAGCAACATATTGCAATATTTTTCCAATTTAACTTATTTGTATTATATTATATAATTTATAATTATAATAATATTATAAGTCACAATAATATTATATTCTATAGCTATTGTTATGTATAGTACTCATATTATCTTTTTGATATGTTTTGTTATCGACAGTTATCGCGATGTTATTATATTGCATTCGAATGTTATCCTTAAATATCTCGCTTTTGTTGTATTTGATACACATATATGTGCTATCGGTATCAGGTTACCTGTCAGAAGCAGAATTTCACCGTTCTTGAACTGAACTTCAAAATAAACTGGTGTTGATGTTCTAATCCAATATTTCTCAATAAGGATTCGTCATAATTTGATAACATTTTTGCTTTTCTCTGTTTAAATATTAATTTTTAGCCCAAAATATGCACATTTTTTAACTTTATTTTTTAAAAGGTTTATAGATCATATAAAATCTGTCACCTATATTTTAATTCCTTGTCATTTAAAACGTTCCTAAACTAAATATTTAATGCATGTCAATATTAATTAATTATTTTTTACTATAATTAATGCTCTAATTATGTATACCAGTTCTCTATTTTAACACAAAGTATTTTCTCTGCACTCGAACCAAAATCTTCTTAATATGATTAAAATTACGTGCTCAAGCCACAAACTGCTCTAGTTTGATCAATTAATCACCAAGGCAATTTGATTTACTAATATTAGTAAATTGAAAACAGTGAAGAAACTTCCTTTAAAGAAATTCAGATCTTGGTTTAAAAAATCTCCAATCTTTTTTCTCATTGTTTAATTTCAGTTCTTAATCTCTCGTTTTTAAAAATCTCAGATCATTTTCTTTCAAATCTCAAATCAAGCTTACTGAAAAATACTGAATTCTTTTGTGAACAAAGCTATTGCTCCTTCTCAGTAATTTTAATAATCTAAAAACATTAAATTACAATAAAAAATACACTTTAACGAGTAAAACAAAATTTTATTTGATCACAAACGAATAAATATTTTTCAATAGAATGCCCTATTTTGCTTCCAGATTAAAAATAATGTTTTTACAGGATATTACGTAACTACCTCCCTTAATATGTACTTAAAAATCATTGTAAATGTAAGGTCTAAACATTATGCATATAAAAAGAAATGATTCAATATTCAAGTGATAAAGAGAAGAAAAAAACAATAACAAAATATTAAATAAATAATCCCAAGAAACTGAAGTGGAAAGATACATTTAACGATATAAAATTTCCTTCCCTTTATGAAGAATGCAATAAAAGCCGATATGCTTCAAGTGCTCAAAAATTGGCGGCCTTCCTCAAGACTGATCAAGCGTGAATGAGAAAATCAAAAGTGATTTAAAACGGAAAAATAAAAAAAAGTTGAAAATAAAGGTGAAGCACAAAACGGGAAAACCATGGTAGCGACATTGACTGAAAGAGAAAAGTATCAGAGCAAAATAATTTCCCCTATCAAAATCTTTTGCATCAATAATGAAGATGGAAGAATGAAAACCATTGAAACTTGTTTAATTGCCTAAGAAAATCTGTAGGCCTTTTTAACAAATCCTATACATCCTATAACAAATCCAATAACCCTTCTCTGTTTTTGTAGCAATGGGTATCACTGTTAAAAATATCACCTCTGATGTTATAAATATCAAAAGATCCTTTTTCTCTTGCTAAAAATATTATTTGTGAGCTCTAATGCGTAGGCTTTTTTGAGTTTAATTTTAACAAGGGTTCTTAAAATGTGCATTAACAGCAGTGATTACATAATACCCTGTATATTTCAGTATAATAATTAGAGATTTTCAGAATTCTTCCAAAATAGACTCCAAAATCTTGTTTTACTCATTAATCTTTATTATTTTAAGCTTTATCATTTTATAAGCAAATTATAAATGATACGTAATCTTTTTATTTCAGGGTTCCTTACAGTAGTCCAACCTACAGAAGGTAATTTTAGATACAATTATTAAATGAAGTGTTAAAAATATTTTTGAATATGTTTTTGCTCCACACATTTAAAATCTTTTTTTTTATATTTAGTTATATATTGTTAGCCCATCAATAATACTGTCCCCCTTATTTTAATTATTCAAATATTGCCTAGTTTATTTTTAGAGCAATTGCAAATAAAAAAAAAACTTTGTTATATGTAATCGGTTTTATTAATCTATGGTTTCTTTTCTTATAACTTTTAATATGTTTTCTGTAAAAATTTTAAACTCTTTTGTTTTAAACCGAAAATATACAATAATGTAAAGTTGTTCTATTTAAATTAGTCTTTTTTCTATTTTTATAGATTATCCTTAGAATATACAGCAATATAAAATAAAATAAATATACATTTTTTTAAATTTTCCATAAAAGCTAAAAAACATCAACTAAAAATATAGAGTATTATATAGTTAATTTATAAAATTCTTAATTATATAATAATTAATTTAGAAAGTAGTTAATTTATAAAAGTCTCTTTTTTTAATTATTTATATACTTTCTAAAATATCATCGTTTAAAATTAAAAAAAAACTACAGTAATAATATATTAGGGTTTTTTTCATCATTATACTATTCTTTCCTACTTTTTAACTATTTTCTAGATTAAGATTTAGAACATTTTTAAAACGAAAACATTCAGTATTATACCGTTATTTAATAAAATCTACTGTCCTGATTTTTAATTATATATATGCTTCTAAGAGCATAATTCGACCCATTGTTTTGAATTTAGTAGTAAATTATTTTTTCGTAAAATCCATTGTTTAAATTGTGCTAGTGCTTACAAAAATTATTGCTGAAATTTTTGTTTCAAAAGAAAATATATATTATCGTTAGTTTGTAAAATCCATTTTTCAGTTCAATCATTCTCTTGAGATTATTCTTGAAAAGGAAAATATTTATTATCTTATATTATTATAAATACCTTATTATGTACGCAAAATCAATTAAAATTCTTAAAAAGTAAATTGATGACGATACTTCACTAGCCTTTTATTTATAAGGTACCTCCCTATGGGTATTGATACAAGTACAGCAGACAAAATTTATTTTCGAATTCAAAATTAGGGAATTAAAAATAAAATATAAATCAAACAGTTCTAATGATATAATAAATGCAAACACTTGATCGTTTCAGGCTTTTTCCAATTCGTACGCATTTTTTTTTATAATTATATTTGGTCCTTCTAAATGCAAAAAAGCCAGTGTAGCAAGGATGACCTCAGAACTTAAAAATTATCAGTGTAAGGAATATCAAGCAAATGTATACATGGCAATGGCGTTTACTTTCAAACAATGCAGTGCTGAGAATATCGGATAAGTGTAAATCAGGCAACCTTAAAAACCAACATTTTAAAAAATACCATGCATTCTTTAACCTTCTTAACTTGGAAAAGAAAAGGAATTATCTAATCCCATTGGAAGATAGTTAAGGACTTGTTTTGCTTTTCCGCCTCTAGTTTGCATTCCAGTTTTATAGTTATTTTTGCTTTTTATCTTATAATATACATTAACTTAAACTTATTTTATAAAAAGCAAATCGAATTTCACTTATAATCTTGTAAAAGTTACTATTTCTTTTAATGAAAATAAAACAAAATAATGCATCGTTTTTTGTTAAACCATTTATTCACTTTATTTTCAACTAGTCACATGCAACTCGATATTGTTTCTGTCGAATGGAACGCACTAAAGGTCTTTGGAATGCACTAAAGACATAGATTTCTCAGCACATTTCTACATAATATTTCAAATATATAAATTTTGTTTTCAATTTTTTTTCTAGGCATATTTTTCCTTGTTAAATATATTTCTTTTTTAAATCTTATTTACGTAGATAAAGAAATCGTTTCCGAAAATATGCTTTAGCAGTTTGAAATTCTTCACAGAAAAAAAAGAAAATATTACTTTTTCAATATTTTTTTATTTAAGTTAAATAATTTTATGTTACTATGGATAATTTCCAGAGAGTTAATATAAACATTAAATTATTTGAATTCTTTTCAGCGCAACTGATAATACAGATATCCAAAGTCGTATGAAAATGTATTTGGCACCTATAAACAGGTATCTAAATTTTTCTAATTATTTTTTTTTTGAAAAACATAATGAACACTTTTTTTATGTTCACATTTAATTTAAGTATTTTTCAGCATTAATTAGAAGCTTATGCGAATTGTTTGTATTAAAATAACAAACGAAATAAGAAAACGGATGCAATAAAACAACTATAACAAGTATAAATCCAATAAGATATAAATGAGATGAAATATTTCAAAAAATGTGCTAAAATTTAAAAATAATAAAACATAAGAAAATAAACAAAACAAAGTAAGCAAAATAATAAATAAAAACGAAATTAATTGCAAAAATTGTAGAGATAAAGACTATTATATTATTATGCTGAATTTTACACGTGGATATAAAGCAATTCAAATCTACAGCTTTAAATTTAAATAGTAATACTAGTAATAGGAATAATACATTATTTACGACACACTAGCATAGTACAATGAGCTATTGGCTGTAGTCTGGGAATCATCCCTGAGGAGAATCCGAGAACATGCCATCACAATTTGATCCTCTGCTGAGGGGATGGCTTCATCGCTTTGAAAGCCTAAAGACCTATACGAAAATCTGGCATTTTAAGGTAGAATAGTTTAACAAGGACCTATATTGCTCACCCTCGCCCCTTAGCAGGCAAATCAAAATAGTCACGCACTCGCACACTGTCCACTGCCGGTGATATTTGGCTTCGGTGTTATGCTGGGAACCGTTTTTTACAATGGATCCACTGTGGGTTAAATTTATTTATAATATAATCAAATATATAAAGGCATAATAATGTTTATATGTGAATGTAAGTGACAAGAAATTATTTTTTCATGTATATATATATCTATATCTATCTATATATCGACGCATATAAAGAATAATTTTTATCTTAGGATAATTATTCTTTGTTCAGAAATATCGCCTTAAATTATACCAATAGATGTGTCTTGAAGAAGATTATTGGTTTTTTCCATTTATAGTTTCCTCTTTATATTATATATATATATATGATGCAAGTTTTCCAAATTATTCAATTACCAAAATTACATTTCTTTCTTTTTTTAATTTTTTTAGGACTTCTAAAAAAGAAAAGATGTTTACTCCAATACCTAAACCAGAAAGCAATTCCAATCAAAGGGATATTTACTTTACAAACTTGAAGTAATTTTCAAACAAAATTACTAGCAAAAATTAATAAACTAATTTTAATTTTAATTCATTTGAAAAGTACTGAAGTAAATTTAGTGAGATGAATTATTTAAAAAAAATTTATTAGCATTTATACCAAATATTCGTATTTTATATATATGAAGATTAAATTTCTAAAACACTTTTGAAATTTCGGAGTAATCATAATGATTAGCTTCCTTCGTCTTAATTCTGTGAAAAATTAAGCTCATTTCTTTTAAATTTATTTAATAAATTCAAACTCAAGAAGCCAACAAGGCAATTAGATGTACAGCATGTCCCATAAATGTTGCTAGCATGTCCCGTAATCCCGTACAGCATGTCCCGTAAAACTTCTAGGGGAGGTAGAGCACTTTAAAAGGGTTAAGGATTTCATAGCAACCCATGATCGGTATTGTTATCGTACGCTTGTAAGGGAGTTTCAGTATTGTGAACTATTTCGTTGTATACCTATGAACAAGTACTTTTATTTATCCAAATTATCTAAATTTCATTTTTTCTAATAGTTATTGTCACTAATTGCATTCAAATAAATTCAGAAATAGCTGTTTTATCTTTATTTTATAATTTGGCAACTAACTTGATAAGCTCCCAAAATCATTAAATTCATTAAAAAACATCTAAATCTGGGACTATTTGAATGCAATTTTCGTCGCTAATTATTTAAAAACATAAAATTAACGGGAAATTTGGATATTTTAGATAAATAAATGTACCTGTCAAAAGGACATGAGTAATATGCTCACAATAGAAAAGCTCTCCGAACGAAATATGATGGCATTTTTGATCGCGGGTTGCTATTCGATTCTTCATCCATTTAACCTCCCATAGAATTTTGTCGCTGCATTTATGAGACATCCATATATTTGAGTGGGTTGAAGTAAATCATTTAGAATTAGTGTGAAAATGTAATCTACTACCATCAATGAGAAGTATGTAAATACTTATGACTTCGCATTTATGTCTTCTGGTGCTTCAATGGTACCAACATATTAATTGATTCGTTGAGATGACAGAATTGAATCTTCTGGATAGATTCTATCAATCGATTGGATGATTCTATTAATTCAGATTAGTAGATTCAGTAGAATAGTCAATTCAGATTATATCAATGGATGATGACACTATATCGTTAGCAGATGGTAAATTTTTAGCACTGCTGCAAGTAATTTTGAAAAATCTTTGGGCTTCCTTTTTATTTTATTTTGAATTTTCAAAATTTTTAAATTTTTATTCTTCGTTGTAAGACTCTGCATTCTTCCTTACAATGATAAAGGATCAAATTACGGTAAAAGTACCGGCACTTTAGATGTGTGATCCGTAAAATACATCTATCTATAAAATCTATTTTTACCGGTTAATCCATTTTTACTGTAAAATATTACATCGCGATTTTTACAGTAATATTTATTTAATTAGAGTGATTTTGTAATTTCATGGTAATTATTACTGTCAAAATTAATATATATCAGTATTTCCTTTCATAACATAATCCAGTGAAAGTGGATTTTACGCTAAAAAGTACCTGCACTCCGAGTGTTGGTATTTTTTACTGTAATTTCATCCGGACAAGACCCAAAAATAATTATAATGCACCAGTCACCGGATTTAAAAAAGTAGTTATTGCAATCCATTTTCTTCAGAATTTTCTGGAAGATTTATTTTTCATTTTTAAAATGATAACATAACTTCTGCATTTTAATATCATTCTCTGATTATAAATTTAATGTGAAATAATTCAACCCATTGCAACAGATCAAAAAATTAAATTTACATGTCTACATAAATGCATGATTATCGTGCTGTGGTATGATTATAATTGATTTCTCAATTCTCATTCCACTTCCACGTGAGAAAATTATGTTTCTAAAAAGTAAAAATTGACGAGTATGATAATCCCATCATTTTTTAAAACTTCAACAGATTTAGGTATTTGAAGTCACTAAACGGAACACAAGGATAAAAACTACTAAACAATTTAAAATAAATATTCCCAATAAAACTGAAGCTGTATAATACATGATTAAAATCTTCATTTGCTTCAAAAATATGCAAATTAGAAATAACAGTCAACATGGTTCAAGCTCTCAAAAACAATAGCCCATTTTTAGGACATGCCAGACGTGAATGAGAGGAAGCAAAAGTGATCTGAAATACAAAATATAAAGTTGCCAACAAAAAAATTTAAAAATAAAGGCAAAAAACAAAACTAGAAAACTACAGTAGTCGAGAGAAAGAAAGAAATGAAAAACAGAGCAAGAAAAACCATAGTGGCCGAGATGAGCGAATCAGGGTAAAATGCATTTACAAGCACTATGAAAAGGCGGTGAGGAACTATTGTCGTTAATAGTCCTGAAATGCCTTTAAAAGTATTAACATCAGCTCATCACCGCTACTCTATAGAGCAATGAACTGCATTTTGTCCATATCTGCCCCTCTCAGCTACTGTAGTTTATCTTGTTTTGTATTTTATTATGCCATTTAAGCATACACATGTGAAATATTTTTAAACAATGTTTTCAGTAATACCAAATTTGATCTTCATACTTCACCGTTCATGCATAAGGCGTAGAGCAATTTCGAAATCTTACCACCAATTTTATTGCAGATTTGGATTTCCCAAAAAATAGCATCCTGATTTGAATGAGTGGTCCATACATTTTCGTTCACATATGGCACTGCAAACAAAAAATTAAAATGAGGTATAAAATCAAAAACCTAATTTGGAAAAGGGACTACTTTAGTCACTTAAATGATTTTGAGTTTATAGTTTTGTGAAATTAATATTGATTGTACACACTGACAAATTATAAGAAATTGAATTCCTTTGTGGGATTAAATTGAGAGATAACTTTTAAAATGTGGTTTTATTGTGATAAACGAACAGAATTTGACTAATCACACGAAATTAGCATTCACTTAGCCTGATATTGGTAAAGTAACGTTTATATTTTCTGTTAAGTTTATATGAATTTAATTAAGCAATATAACACTTTTTTTATTCATCTTTAAGAATTAATCTTGAGAAAGAATCTGAGGAAAGTCTTTCTGCGACACGGAGTGCAAGCATATCTACTGAAGGGTCAGCAAAACTTTCTAAGTATGAACTTTATTTCTCTTGCTTAATATAAAATTTAATTTTTTAATTTAAGTTATCCCAATACGAAACTATAAATTATATTCTATTCAAACAATCTTATTACCTAGATGAGAAAGAAAATCTTCTCAAAATCAGATGAACCATTATTTAGTTAAATAACGGTGAAAGGGAATTAAAACGATAAAAAAAAGAGCATTGCATTAAGCCAAACGAAGTAAAAGGCAATAGTCTTTTTCACTCATTCAACGTTCAAGCTATTTTTTTAATCACTTTTATTGCAACAGATACTATTTTTTAAATTTGTTATGAGCTTTTCCGTGATTTGCAATCATCAGATTTAAATATTATTATTGCTTTGAATCAATTAAATTATTGTATTTATATTATATTCCATACTTGAGTAATATCCCTTTACCTTAAAGTAAAGTTCAGTGCAAGGAATACCGGGCAAAGACAATTTACTTTTAAAATATCCGTATTGAATACCAATCAATGTGAGAGACATATATTATCAAGGTTAAGCTGGTTATAATAATAGAGATTTTTTATCAAATTAAGCAAAATGAAATATTAACGTGTTTGCATGTCATTCAATTAATACTAATTAATCTCTTAATGATACTAGTTAAAAGTATAAAATAATTATTTTATTTATTATTGGCATTGTATGCCATGCTTAAGAAATGTGTGAAATGCTGATTCATTTCATGCCTCTGCAATTTTGATTTTATGCGTTTTTATAGACGATATCAAGGTATTGTATACAATGCCGGATTTTTCACTTTTCCGACGATACATGCATACTATAATTTGATTTAATTTCAGATCCGTATTGCCTGATAATAATGTCGGAAAGGAATCCATGCGTGATCTTCAAAATTTCCCTCCGCTACGGTAAATATATATATTTATTTATATTGGCCTCTCAAACCCATGTAAATTTCATAATTATTCTGAATGATTCTGCAATCCTGTTTAATGAAACTTATTTGCTCTTCCTTATAATACAATTCACAATATTCAACTTTATCGTAAGACAAAATCTTTTAATTGTCACTGAAGTATCATCTTAGCTAATTTCCTTTTTGTTACTCATTGGCCTACTATGAGTAAATTTCGTTGTAAAATGTTTTATATTTTTCAGAAACATAAGGAAGCACATAAGCTCATTTTTTCATACATATTTTATCTTTAAGCTTAGCCAGATTGATTTTGAGATCCCGGGTGAAAAATGTCAAATTAAATCTAACATTAAGAACATCACTTTTAACCGCTGGAGAGATGACTGGAGGTCTAGTGACAAGGGAAGACAAATCTATAAATTTTTAAGGACCCTAGTATAAAGCGCCTGCAGACCAATTTTTACTTAAACCAGCTCCTTACTGGCCACGGAGTGTTCGGGACCTATCAACAAAAATATTTCAGGAAATCAGCTTCATGCAATTACTGTGGAGTGAGACAGGACATTAAACATCTAATTAAGTACTGCCCAAGATTCCGGACACTTCGTGGAACCCACATAAATAACTACGAAGAGGAACACCAATTCTTTGCCATATTGACCAGCAGGAAAATTGTGACTCAAATTATTAAACAAACCCTCGAGGACATTTTAGCCCTAGATCAACTGACCCCAGTCATGAACCAACAATAGAACATGTCATCATTAATTTATACTAATCAACTTTTAGCCTTACATTTTGAAATTTTATCTACTTTTGATTTTAGACTTCATCGACTNTTATAATACAATTCACAATATTCAACTTTATCGTAAGACAAAATCTTTTAATTGTCACTGAAGTATCATCTTAGCTAATTTCCTTTTTGTTACTCATTGGCCTACTATGAGTAAATTTCGTTGTAAAATGTTTTAT